TATGTTGGCAGAAAATGATGCAGCCAGGGGATGTAGTACCCTGTGTTGGCAATAAGATGAGGCTCGTGGCACTCTGAAATGCTACTAGAGAATGTCGTACCCTATGTAGAAAATAAAAATGCAACCAGGGGATGTAGTACCCTGTGTTGCCAATAAGATGAGGCTCGTGGCACTCTGAAACGCTACTAGGGGATGTCGTACCCTATGTAGAAAATAAAAATGCAACCAGGGGATGTAGTACCCTGTGTTGGCAATAAAATGAGGCTCGTGGCTCTCTGAAATGCAACTAGGGAATGGCGTACCCTATATTTGCAACAAGAAGTGCAACCAGGGGATGTAGTACCCTGTGTTGCCAATAAGATGAGGCTCGTGGCACTCTGAAACGCTACTAGGGGATGTCGTACCCTATGTAGAAAATAATGCAACCAGGGGATGTAGTACCCTGTGTTGGAAATAAGATGTAAGGCAACCAGGGGATGTAGTACCCTGTGTTGAAAATAAGATGAGGCTCGTGGCACTCTGAAATGCTACTAGGGGTGTCGTACCCTATGTAGAAAATAATGCAACCAGGGGATGTAGTACCCTGTGTTGGAAATAAGATGAGGCTCGTGGCACTGTGAAATGCTACTAGGGGATGTCGTACCCTATGTTTGCAACAAGAAGTAAGGCAACCAGGGGATGTAGTAACCTGTGTTGGAAATAAGATGAGGCTCGTGGCACTCTGAAATGCAACTAGGGGATGTCGTACCCTATGTTTGCAACAAGAAGTAAGGCAACCAGGGGATGTAGTACCCTGTGTTGGAAATAAGATGAGGCTCGTGGCTCTCTGAAACGCTGCTAGAGGATGTCGTACCCTATGCAGAAAAATAAAAATGCAACCAGGGGATGTAGTACCCTGTGTTGGCAATAAAATGAGGCTCGTGGCACTCTGAAATGCAACTAGGGGATGTCGTACCCTATGTTGGCAGAAAATAATGCAGCATGGGGATGTAGTACCCTGTGTTGGCAATAAAATGAGGCTCGTGGCTCTCTGAAATGCTACTAGGGGATGTCGTACCCTATGTAGAAAATAAAAATGCAACCAGGGGATGTAGTACCC